CAAAGGTGGAAGTAGCCCAGATGTCCATCGAGAGATGACTGGATAAATAAAATGTGATATATGCATAAAATGGAATATTACTCAGCCCTAAAAAGGAAGGAAATTCGGACACATGCTACAACATCGATAAACCTTTGAGGATATTATGTAAGTGAATAAGCCAGTCACAAAAAGACAAATACTGCATGCCTCCACTTATATGAGATACTTACAATAGTCAAAATCAGAGACACAAAGTAGAATGGTGGTTGCGACTAATGATTTCCAGCCATAGCACCTTCATCTAAGACCAAGAGAGGCAAATGAACTGAAGGGTTCCATCTGACCAGAGAAGACCAGCAAATGCTCAGCGACCTACGGACATGAACACAATTATTTCCAAGAAAAAAGATGAGCCATGGCTCTTGTCTGACAAGTGTAATGGAGAGCAGACTTGCTTAGAGGGACATTCCCAGGAGGAGGTGGCAGTTTCATTCTGGCCTAGCTTTGATCTCTAACCTCTAGGAACAATTTTCTTCCTTTGTGATTATAGTTCCAAACGTTGGTCCCTTTGGGGAAACTACTTCAGCTTGACAAGCAAATGTCATCAGGTTTGTTGTTTGTTTTTATTTCTTTCCCTAGTGCAGGAAAGAAGTCCAGAATATCCCACTGTAGCGTAAGGATTATTTTGAGCTAAAGGCGTTTGAGAATCAAGGGATTCAGGAAGAGTTGTTTGGTTTTATTTTAATTTTTTTTTTTCCTGAACTTCCCTGCCTAAAAGCAATGCCTCTCAAAAGAATTCAACTGTCTTAAATTCCTTCCCAGGAATTTCCAAACCAGGGAAGATTGACTCCTGTCATCAGAAACAAGAAGTTGGTACTGGGATAATAAATCACCTAATAGAGCTTGTGCAACACTCTCATATCTCCCATCTATTCTCCCAAAGGCCTGTTTATGTTTTCTAAAAGTTATTTCCCAGAAGTGCCCTTTCTCCTTCTCCCTTCCCTTTATTTAAATAGTATATAAGCCCCAAATTCTTTTTTTTGAGACAGAGTCTTGCTCTGTCGCCCAGGCTGGAGTGCAGTGGCACAATCTCAGCTCACTGCAGCCTCTCCTCCCCAGGTTCCAGTGATTCTCCTGCCTCAGCCTCCCAGGTAGCTGGGATTACAGGGGTATGCCACCACACCCAGCTAATTTTTTGTATTGTTAGTAGAAACAGGGTTTTGCCATGTTGGCCAGGCTGGTCTCGAACTCCTGACCTCAGGTGATCCTCCCGCCTCAGCCTCCCAAAGTGTTGGGATTACAGGTGTGAGCCACTGCACCCGGCCATAAGCCCCAAATTCTAATTGCTCCTTGGGTGATATTTTTCTGTGAACTCTGACTACTTCAGTGAATAAAAATCTACCTTTTCAGGCTGGGCCCAGTGGCTCACACCTGTAATCCCAGCACTTTGGGAAGCCAAGGCGGGGGGGATTATCTGAGATGGGGAGTTCGAGACCAGCCTGACCAACATGGAGAAACCCCGTCCCCATTAAAAATACAAAAAATTAGCCGCACATGGTAGTGCATGCCTGTAATTCCAGCTACTTGGGAGGCTGAGGCAGGAGAATCACTTGAACCCGGGAGGCAGAGGTTGCGGTGAGCCGAGATCACACCGCTGCACTCCAGCCCAGGGCAACGAGAGTGAGACTCCCTTTCAAAAAAAAAAAGAAAGAAAAAATCTGCCTTTTCTCCTGCTAATCTGCGTTTTGTTGGTTTAACTTGCAATCCCCCAAATCCTGAGCCTAACAGGGTAGAGGAAAAGTTGTACCTCCCTGACAACAGGAAAGCTTCTTCTGATAAAGACGAATGGCACGGAAGGGGGAGGTGATGGTTGGAGTGAGGACAAGCATGTAACAAAATGCCCACTTGCACTGAGACAGGTTTTTCCTAAATATTTATTAGTCCTTAAATATTTTGCTTAAGAGAAGTCCTCAAAATGAAAACTACGTCTTCAACACACCAAGCGGTGGAATGGAGACGGCAGCTGAGGAAGCAGGGCCTGGAAAATAACTGTGGGTTGTGTGACAAACACGGGGGACTGGTGAGAGGAAGAACGCACAGTGGCAGAGCAGACACTGAGCAGGCAGCGAGGAGGACAGATTTGTTTGGGGCATTCAAGGCTGCCTATAGTTCCTGCCTTTTGGGTGCTTATGGTGGCAGACAAGCCCTCATGAAGGTGAACCAAAGGAGGGAAGTCACAGGGGACCCTCCCGTCGGCCCCGCCATGCCTGGACAGTCGCTGCAGCCTGAACTTTCTGCCTCGCTCCTGCTTTCCCTGTTGCATTGAACTCTGGTGCCTCACTCGTTTCTGTTGTTTTTCTTGGGAGAAAAAGTTCTCCTGCCATGCAATGTGTTAAAACTGTACTTGTCTCCCCGACCCACCTTCCTACCTCCAGCCCCTCTGCTCCCTCCTGGCTTCTATTCTCAAATTTCACTGCAGCAGACATCTCTCTCCAGATTTCTTGCCTCAGCAAAGGCCCGTGCCATTCCACAAACAAAACCATCCTTCTCTCTTTCAGCCTTTCATCTGCATTTCCCTCCTTCTGTTCTTTCAAATTTCTCACCGCTGGTTTTATTTTACCCTCCTCTGGCGCCAGGCTTCCTTCTTTGTTAGATACTTCGAATTTACCGCCATCTCTAGGCAGATGTGGGGGTCATTCAGTAAGAAGAGAACACACGTTTTGTGTGCTCAGTCTGATGGGTGTCTGGCTTCTAAAGTTGGTGTGGTCCAATTCCTATCTGCCGCCACCGTTGTGCTCTGCAGAGAGGTTTACTCTCTCCACTCTCTCTGTTCCCGGCCCTGAAGGCCTCCCATGTTCCCCCAGTTCAAACTGCACCTTTCCCATGAGGATTTCCCTCGCTGCATCCTATACCATCACAGCCCGTAACACGCCACTCAACAAATACACAGTTGCATCTAACCAAATGTGACCCTGCGTCCATATTTATGTTTCTGTATATTAACGCATTCTTGTTTCCCCTGTCAGGCTCCATTAGTCTGGTTAGCTTTTGCCCAGGCTCAAGGCATGGTATCAGGAGATGAGAGGCTCAGAATCCTAGATGTCCACCACTAGGTGATGGTGGGGTCAGGCATCTCCTTAAGCTGTCGGTGCTCTGTCCCCAGGTGGGGATGCAGTGGCACGATCTAGGTTCACTGCAGCCTCCGCCTCCTGGCTTCAAGCGATTCTCCTTTCTCAGCCTCCTGAGTAGCTGGGACTACAGGCATGCGCCACCACACCCAGCTGGTTTTTGCAATTTTAGTAGAGATGGGATTTCACTATGTTGGCTGGGATGGTCTCAATCTCTTCACTTTGTGATCTGCCCACCTCAGTCTCCCAAAGTGCTGGGATTACAGGAGTGAGCCACCACACCTGGCCTACTTCCACTTTCTTTGGAATGGAGATGTCTGTTTTTCTGGAAACATATGTGATGGTGGGCTAGCAGTAGAAACGCTACTGTAATAGCGAGGTGATCTTTGTCACTTCGCTTCTTGGGACCTCATTAGTCTTATATATAAAACGAAGACATTAACCTAGCTCAAAGTGTGGTCCCCAGGACTCCTGGGATCCTGACCTCTTTTAGGGGTCAAAAAGGGGCAAACTAGTTACCTAACAATATTTAGAGCTACTTCACTCTTTTCACTCTCATTCTATGAGTGTACACTGGAGTTTCTAGAAACTATGTGATATGTGAAGTCATCCCTCTAATGATAACCTGAAATGAGGTTATTATTGTGTGATTTTTAATGAATACATTTTAAAATATTTGTTTTCATTTCTTAAAAAGCAAACATTAATCTCTCTATATATATATGCATGTGTGTATACATATGTAGGATATGTATGCTGATGAAAACATGTTCTTATCACCAATTACCCTCGGTATCTACAAAATGCCTGGACACAGGAGGCACAATTATTTGTTGAGTGAATTAATGATCTTAAAGATCTAGAAATCTGGTTCAGTGGTTCTCAAACTTTTTATTTGAGAAACAAAAGAAGTCTCAGGACTCCTTTTCACTTACAAATTACTAGGACCTTAAAGAACCTTTATTTATGTAGGAAATGTATGAATATGTATGTGATATTCATACTATATATAATATATATTCATACTATACATATTATATGTGTGTGTATATATATGAAATGTATGGTGTTATAATACATATATATATTCAGACTATGTGTATAATCTATATTCATACTATATATATTATATTCATACATTTCCTACATAAATAAAAGCGCTTCAAGGTCCTAATAATTTTTCTTTTTTGAGATGGAGTCTCACTGTCACCAGGCTGGAGTGCAGTAGCGCAATCTCAGCTCACTGCAACCTCCACCTCCCAGGTTCCAGCCATTCTCCTGCCTCAGCCTACCAAGTAGCTGGGACTACAGGCGCACGCCACCATGCCCAGCTAATTTTTGTATTTTTTAGTAGAGATGGGGTTTCACCAAGCTGGTCTAGAACTCCCAACCTCAGGTGATCCACCCGCCTCAGTCTCCCAAAGTGCTGGGATTACAGGTGTGAGCCGCCACACCTGGCCTAGGTCCTAATAATTTTTAAGTGAAAAGGAGTTCTGAGATCAAAAAGTTTGAGAACCACTGAAACATTTTTCTAGATCTTTAAGATCATTAATTCCCTCAACAAATAATTGTGCCTCCCCTAGCCAGGCATTTGTAGATACCGAGGATAATGTGGTGATAAGAACATGTTCCCTGCTCTGATAGTTTTACATTTGGGAGGGAAGAGACAAACAAATAAATTAACAAGATAATTTCTGAAAGCAGTAGGTTTAATGAAGCCAACAGGCAGGACACATATTCCTGCACAATCTGTGCGCCTGCTCAGATGTCAGAAGCCAGATTCAGCTGGCTCTCCCCAAAAGGCCCCGAGCCCTTTTCGTTGCCCCAGGACGGCGGAGGAAGGGGTGGGCCTGTCCGCCCCTCGGCGCTGGCGTCAGGTGATGTCACTGGACCGCGCCAGCCAATCGCGGGCGGCCGGGGTCTAGGCACCACCGTGGCCGGCGGCCTGCCGGGGGCGCTGTGGCCCGCCGGGCGGCCCCTCAGAGCCGCCATAGCCTCCCGGGTTCCCCAAACCAACGACTCCGCCGTCCGCTCTGCGGCGCCGCCATGGCCGATGTGGAAGACGGCGAGGAACCCTGTGCCTTGGCCTCTCACTCCGGGAGCGCAGGCTCCAAGTCGGGAGGCGACAAGATGTTCTCCCTCAAGAAGTGGAACGCGGTGGCCATGTGGAGCTGGGACGTGGAGTGCGATACGTGCGCCATCTGCAGGGTCCAGGTGATGGGTAAGCGCTGCACGCGAGGCCGGGGCCGCGCTGCGGCCTCTGGGAGCCGACTCCGAGGGTGGGAAGGAACTGGCGCCCGCCGGAAGCCTCGGAAAGTCCCCTGCCTCCGGGAGTGGGTGGAAGTCGCCCTGCCCGGGCGTTGGGGGAACGTGGAGTCACGATCAGGCTGCTGCTCCTGACGGCTGCGGCCGCTGCCTAGGGCTGCGGGGTCGTGCAACAGGCGCCCGGCGCCAGGCGGCTAGTGTTCTAGGGAGAGAGACGGGCAATAAACGGAGGTGAACAGTGAACAAGGTAATTTCAGGTAGTTAATGGGTGTGACCAAGAGAATAAAACCGGGCGATTGTTGGAAACTAGCAGAAAACGCCTTGGTTTATGTGGCCAGTCCCACCCCCTGCTCTAAAAGCTCATCGCGAGGTGGTCAGGTTAAATTAGGCCGTGATTCAGCAGTGAACTTTAATGGTCTTGTTCACCACCAAAGTGATGCTCCGGAGTCATCTTCCACAAAACAACACCCTTAGTTCTCCTCGAGAGGCGCAGGGAAGTGTTTTCTCAGCCTTTGCATTTCCGGATTAATTTACCGCCGCTCTTCGAATGGCTTTTAAATCTGAATTGATCTAAGACGGGTCAGATAGTACTAGCGTGGCTTGAAAGGGAAAGTATGGTTCAAGAATATCTAAGTTTCATGGGAGCTGAGGAATGTAAGCCCTTTAGTCAGAAACATGAAACTTCACCTCCATCACAACCCCCTCTCCATCATCAGATGCCATTTCCTGGAGAAGATACTGCCCTGCTTTAATCATGCCTTTGTGGAGAACCTTCTTACAAATATATCTTCTTTCTGTGATTTTTTGAGTTAAAATATTGGACCAAGCGAAACGTTTCAGAACAGCTTAATCTCGTGTATTATATGGTTCTAAGGTCTCAGACCACTTTGAAAAGCAAGTGCTATTTAAATGCAAGTTGTGTTTTTAGATAGGGCATTTAAAATCACTTTGAGAGCATCTTCAATGGAGTTCTTTATTGAGGATAAAGAAAACTGGCATTTCTATAGTTTGAAAACTGTGACTTGTCTTGAAGAGTGAGAGATTTGGAGAACATAAAGAGAATTGCTTTCCTTAAGGGGGATGAGACCTTAAACCTACCAGAATTAAGAGATTTCTCAATATGTGCTCTTTTGTCTTTTATTCGTAAGGGCTTGTTTCAAAGAGGATTTACAATTGTATTGAGACATTTTTATCTTTTACTTTTGAAAGACCTTGGTATTAGACATGACCCACTTATTTTACATGGATCACTTGAGCCCAGGAGTTTGAGACCAGCCTAGGCAACACCGCAAGATCCTGTCTCCACAGTTAAAAATTAAAATAAAAAAATTGACCAGGCATGGTGGCCTCCAGCTACTCTGAAGGCTGAGATGGGAGGATCCCTTGAGCCCAGGAGGTTGAGGCTACAGTGAGCCTTGTTCCTGACACTGCTACTGTACTCCAGCCTGGGTGACAGAATGAGATCCTGTCTCAAAAGCAAACAAAACACATTCGGTTTTAAAAGTATCTAGTTTATTTGCCGGCAGTGTAGCCGCTCCCAGCCCCCTTTAGGAATCATAACTTCCAGTTTGGGCGCATTTTTAGCTGATCCAGGAGACTCTTGCTAAAAATTTTATCTCCTAAATACATTTCCTTTCGTTTAAAGGAAACTGAACTTTCACTTAGTTCCTTTTCAGTTTAAAAATAATGTTCTCAAAGGATATTTTTAAAAGATTTCTCTCTCCAAAAGCTATTTCCTCCCCCAAGGAAAAACATGTGAAGAGTGAGTGTAAATGTATAACCTGAAATAATGATTGAAACTTTACAATAAATAAACTTAGATATTTAAAGTAGGTCAAAGTATAGGCTATAAATGACACATTTCATCATAAATGTTCTAATTATAGGAAGTATTCTGCTACCACAGGATCTGTGTTGAGTATTTACAACAGCTGTACTTTGGGTTCAGGAAAGTATTCTAGACTACACCTTTGAATTTTGTTTATGAGGTGTTAAAACCCACTAAGAGGTCAGGTGACAGCAGAAGGAAATTTTTCTTCCAGACTTCCTAGTACTTACTCTAGCATCATTCTAAAAGGTGTTACTGTTATTGAACTCCTTAGAAATGTGCTGTTTTGGCTGGGTGCGGTGAATCACAAGGTCAGGAGTTTGAGACCAGCCTGACCAACATGGAGAAACCCCCATCTCTACTAAAAATATAAAATTAGCCAGGCACGGTGGTGCATGCCTGTAATCCCAGCTCCTCAGAAGGCTACATCAGGAGAATCATTTGAACCCGGGAGGCAGAGGTTGCTGTAAGTCGAGATCACGCCAATGCACTTCAGCCTGGGCAACAAGAGCAAAACTTCATCTCCAAAAACAAAAAAAGAAATGTGCTGTTTTAGATACCAGGATGATCATTAAGGCATTTTTTTTTCTTTTATCTGAAACTTTAGGAAATGTGTAGATTTTGGTCAATTTTTATAGTCTACATCAAAGCTATAAGCATAAATTAGAGATTTCTAGATTCAGCAACAAGGACCCACTTAGTTCCCTTTCCTTAATATTTGAATTTATCCACTCGTGACTTATTACACTTTCTGCTCCAGAGATTTGCCTGTCAGCCCATTCTGATGTGGATGACACTCTCATCTTGGTTTCCACTCTCCTCCCTTCATTCATCATGGAGTGATGATTGCACAGTGAGCAAGTTCTGATGAAGAGGGGAATAGGTTTGCTAGGACCGCCAGTTGTAATAGCCGGAGTAATCCTTCATGACTCTATCACCTTGGATGTTTCGTGTAACTTTTTGGAGGCTTCTTTTCCTAATTTGTACAGAGGTAGTTGGGATCACCAACCTTAATATTAGAACTGTGATTACACAGAGCTAGAGCCAGATACAGGTAGCATGTCTTTACCTTTATGTCACAGCCCTCATGATATTTAGTTGTTTGTCTACCTCCCCATTTGCTGGTGAGCCCCTGGAAACCCAGCCTTGGTCATTTTGGTGTCCCCAGTGCGTAACTCCTTGCACAGAGTAGATAGTAATTGTAGGACTGAAGAAAACCTCAGGAGGCAGTGATTGTTTTTAATCCACACTGAAGAGACCAGGGCGGTGGTGTTTTTCTAAGGGTAAGAGCATGTGGAGAGGAGCAAACAAATGCCTGAGCAGAATCCAGCGTAAGAAGAGAAGCAGGCTTCAACTCCACCGTGTTTCTATTTTTACAGAATTATTTTTCTCCTATTTATGTTAAAAACGTTTCTGTTGGTTCAAACTTCCTTTTACCCAGCCCTGACTCCTCTTCTAGCTAGTGAATGAGTCCATTTTTGGTCCCTAAAATAATCTGTACTACTTTTTTCATTAAGCTGATAATAGTATTCCAGATTGAATTTTGAAAACTTCTAGTACAGCCTTTAGCATCTCCTTTTTGGTATTTATACCTGCTCCACTATATTAGAAGTTACTGTAAGCTCACTGGGCATGCTCAGGGGCAGTTTATTTTCAAGGCGTCTTTTTAAATAAGCCACACATATTTGTTAATATTTGTTCATGTATACATCAAGAAACTCTAGAAGGACACCCAAGAAACCAATAATAAAGTAATTTATTAAAATATTTTACCATTGTTGGTAAATGCTTTGGACTCAGACTTAACTGTAAAGGAAGAATTCTTTTTCTTTTTTCCTTTTTTTAAAAAAAAAGACTTTTATTTTAGGTTCAGGGGTACAAGGGCAGGTTTGTTACATAGGTAAACTTGTGTCACAGAGGTTTGTTGTACAGCTTATTTCATCACCCAGGTATTAAGCCTAGTACCCATTAGTTATTTCTCCTGATCCTCTCCACACTCAGAAAGGCCCCAGTGTGTGGTGTTCCCTGCTGTGTGTCCATGTGTTCTCATCATTTAGCTCCCAAGCATTTTCTTACAAAGAAAAAACACTTAGCATTTAGGATCTAGTATTTACTTATTTTGTCTATAAAATTCTCACCAGTATGTATCTTCCCCACTTTATATATAAATACCTCACGGTATTGTCCCTTTTTTGCAGATGAGGGAATTGGAGTTTGTAATTGGTCGAAGGCCATGAACCTAATAAATGCCAGTGAAGTGGGATTTAACTGTAGCTCTCCTGGCTCTGCAGTCTTTGCTTTCCCCTCTGTGTCTCACTGCCTTCTCGCCAGCCTTGTCTGGATGACTATCAGTAGCAACTTCTTAGAAGCATACAGAGCAGTTCGTTTTAAAGGAACTCTCAAGTGTCTTAGGGCAGAGAGTAAAAAGTTACTTTTTATGAGTTGCTAAAGGAAAACTTTGGTGTCAGTAAGTATGGATGACTTAAAAAAATTTGTTTATGGCCAGGCGTGGTGGCTCATGCTTGTAATCCCAGCACTTGAGGAGGCCGAGACAGGTGGATCACCTGAGGTCAGGAGTTCAAGACTTCAAGACCAGCCTGATGAATATGGTGAAACCTGTCTCTTTAAACAAAAAAAAAAAGGCTTGTTTATGAAAGAATTAATTTTTTTCCATTTAATTTTTATGTGAGATAAATTTACATAGGTCAGAAATTGACGAAGGTATGTGTTTACCTGAAGAGTGAAAACTCTCCTTCCCATTCCAAACCCTACCAGTAAATTTTATTGTTGGTTCCTTGGGTATCCTAGTGTTTCTTGATGTATGTATAAACAAATGCTAACATATATACATGGTTTATTTAAAGGGTGCCATGAAAATAAACTGCCCACGAGCATGCCCAGTAAGCGTATAGTAACTTGGAATATAATGGAGTGTGGCATACTTTTCTCTAGTAGTTTTCTCTATTGGCAGTGTCAGGACATCTTTTCATCAGAGCTTATAAAAATAGAGGGTTTGTTAACCCTTGTGAATTTGCTCCCGGTTATAGTAAATTAGTGGAATGCCTTGTACTTTATTCCTCTTTAAATAGTTACATTCAGATGAGAAATTAATAGTATGAGTCTTTAATGCCATCTCTAACCCTTAGGGCTTTTATTTGACTTTGAAGTGTCGGGTTTTTAAAAATTGCATTCTGAGCATCAGAATGAGAATTGCTATTTGTTTACTTTTAGATGCCTGTCTTAGATGTCAAGCTGAAAACAAACAAGAGGACTGTGTTGGTATGTTGTAATTTCATTCTCTTGCTTTTTCAACTGAAGGTTTTCTCAGTAGGGATGTTTGAATTTGCAGTTAAGATTGACTTTATCAATACACAAAAATAAACTGTAAAGCCGTGATTAATATAAAATATGTTGGTTCTCAAAAGACTTTAATGGAATGACCCTGCAAATCCTTTTATTGCTATAATTAAGAATTATATATTCCAGACGTCATAATAAACATTTTAGTAATCAAAAATGAAATAATTATTTTCTATTAACAAAATTATAAAACCAGAAATTGTTCAAAACATTATTTGAATTTTGGCTCTGTGATGGGCCACTTTTGGTTCTAATAAGGCATTTCACTTTCATATACATTTATATATAGTATTTTAACTTTAAAACCAAAGTAGAAAAAATTCTAAGTCTCAAGTATTTTTTTGGAATGCGGGTTGCATATCAAATTTCCTTTAGAGTCTTATACTACAAAAGTTGTCTTAGGCTAAATATTTTAGGCAGTTGAAAGATTTTTGTGCCCTAGTTCTTGAGGTGATTATGTCTAGATTGCTATCTAAACATGTTTACAGATTTTCTTAGAATAAAAGATTAGCTTTGTATTTTGTGTTTGCCTGATGTGCATAGAGCACATAGAACTTCTTAATATTGATTCATGCAGTTTTGATCCAGTTCTTCCTCCTGAAATGCTTAGAATGTTTCCTACCCTCTGTAGCCAATTTTCATAGGATTTTTTTTTTTCTTTTTTTCCTCCCATTTCATTTAAGCTTTTTCTCTTGTCATAAGCTCAGTTGGTCAAGCAAGGGACAGATGAATTCCAAATTTGAGATTGCATTTCAGATTCTGGATGATTTCCCTTGTTGTAAAGTTTTTCTTGCATGCTGCTTGTTTAAAAGTATTAACTTGGGAATTGTGAGGGGTACTTTCTTTGATCACGGAGAGACCTCTCTCTTAAGCCAGCCACTTTGAAAATTTCATCGTCATATGAATTGCACTGGTTGTGGATGACTTACAATTCATCACTTCTAGAAAACAGCTCAGCTCAGTAGATGCACAATTGAATGCTTAGAAGCATGTCACTGATGATAGCCTACTGCATACTAAAAGCATTTACAACTCACTCTATCTTGATAAACAAAAATTGGAAGAAGATTTTTCTGTGAAGTAAAGCCCAGAAGATCTCTAACATCATCAGTGCATGACTGAGAAGGTCAGAGCTAAGGAACGTTCAAGTCCTTTTATCTCCTAACTTCATGAAGACAGCATGTGGAGCTGTGTAGAACTAGGAGTCATCACATTACCCATAGATTCTAGAACAGGGATGGAAATGCTTTCAGTGACTTATTTTATTGTGTCTCTGTGTAACTTACACATTTAAGTTTCTGTTTCTTTATAGATAGAAAAACATCTTTTTGGCCAATTAACTATCTTTTCTCAAGATTATTATTTGTTATACAAAATAAGCTATAATTTTGAGTTCGGTTTTTAAATTGAAATATGTAATGTTAGCTCTTCTTTTTCTTTCTTTCAGTGGTCTGGGGAGAATGTAATCATTCCTTCCACAACTGCTGCATGTCCCTGTGGGTGAAACAGAACAATCGCTGCCCTCTCTGCCAGCAGGACTGGGTGGTTCAAAGAATTGGCAAATGAAGTGGTTAGAAGGCTTCTTAGTGCAGTTGTTCAGAGCCCTGGTGGATCTTGTTATCACATGCCCCACAAAGGCTAGAGCACTCCAGGGGATGAATTCTTCAAATAGGAGTCGATGGATGTGTGGTCCTTTGGGACTCATCAAAGGCTTTGTTTAGCATTTTGTCAGTTTTGTTTTCAGAAATTCTCTGCAATTAAGAAGATAATTTATTAAAGATGGTCCTTCCTACCTCTGTGGCATGTGTCGCACACACAGCTTAGAAGTGCTATAAAAATGGAGAGAACTTCAGATTGAATCACCTTTATAATTTACCCATTTCTATACAACTGGCTGTGGAAGCAGTTTCATTCAGAAAACTTTGCATGTTTATGGTTGATCAGCTAAAAAGAATGTTACAGTAACAAATAAAGTGCAGTTTAAAACCCAACTTCTATTAATTTGTTCCTAATATGTATTTTTGGCAGTGATAGAGAGCGGTCCATGAAATCTTGATGTGATATGAGGATTTTAAGTTAGGGCCAGTAAGCAGGATAAATAAAATTTAACTTTTGGGCATATGGAATTTTGATGGTCTTTTAAGTTATTATTCTGTATCATTGATTCATCAAGAAAACATAGATCTGCACTCACCTTGCTGTTCAATCATGAGTGGTAAAGGACAGAATTATTTTCTAGTTCTGGTCAGATGATGTAAATTTTTTTTGTTCTGTTTTTTAGGTGAAATGTCTTTCTGTCACCCAGGCTGGAGTGCAGTGGCACAGTGCCAGCTCATTGCAACCTCCGCCTCCCAGGTTCAAGTGATTCTCCTGCCTCAGCCTCCTGAGTAGCTGGGATTACAGGCGAGTGCCACCACACCCGGCTAATTTTTGTATTTTTAGTAGAGATGGGGTTTCCCCATATTGGCCAGGCTAGTCTCAAACTCTTGACCTCAGGTGATCCCCCCACCTTGGCCTCCCAAAGTGCTGGGATGATGTAATTTAACTGTGTTTTAGGTAACATGGTAATGAGGGAAAATGTTTACCAGTGTTACATTGGATCAAAAAGTTTATCACACAATGTTTTAATAAAGTTTATTCTGTTTACCTCATTTGAATTGTCATTATAATGTTATGTGGAACCTTAAACTTAATAAACTGATTTGTCAAGGAAATACTTTCATTTAATTTGAAAATATTCATATTCATTTACACTTTCATTTGACAATAACAAAATTTAAGGCTTATTACCTAGAGACAGTACAAGAAAATACTAAATTTTATCGAACTCATTCACACTGAGGGGAGATTATTTAGTAACGAACAATGAACCACAAGTTGATTTTGAATTCTGTAGTACAGGCTACTGATAGGAATTTAAGCAAAAAACCTTAGAATCTTAACTATTCACATCTGCAGATTCAGTTTGCCATTCTGAATTTTTCAATCTAAGGGACGTGGATACATAAAAGAATGTTTAAAAAGGTAACAATTAGAATTATGTATGCTTTTATATGAGCTACTTTTTATTAATCACATTTCTCTGGAAATTTTTGCTTTATATGTTTTCATAATTCTCTTTCTAGCTACTGAAAAAATACAGATACCTTTGGTCATTTGAATGCTTATCATTGTGCAGTGAACTGTTTTAGAAACTTTCTGTTTGACCTTTCTGGAAGGTTGCATCCTTAAAATGTGAACCAAATCCATGTCTTTGCAGTGAAGAGGAATGCAGTAGAATGTCAGGTTACTTTAGGCAGTGTGACAGCGTGTAAATGAAATGTGGAGGATGATGGCAACAATTTGATTTTCCACACAGCAAACCACAGTCCCACTACCTAACAGAGTTCTGTTTATGCTAGACATGAGCATCTGAGGGAAGGGGAGGCACTGTGACAAAGTAGCGCTAATGAGTACAGCTCAACTGCACAGCCATCTGAAAGTTTAATACGTACTCATCAGAAGAAACATGCTGGGACAATTTTGGGTTCCAACACAAAAGTTAAGTATCAAACAGGTTTTTCTTTCCATTTGATTAAATGATGTTGAATTTTATTTTACTCGTGAATTAGAAACAAATGTTATCTTTCACTATTTAATTTTCCATCTGTGCAAATTATGTTACTGTCCTACAGCTGACCGCTATCAGTAAACCTTACTCTGTCAGTCCTGTTGCTTCCTTTTTTTTTTTTTTTTTTTGAGATGGAGTCTTGCTCTGTCACGAGACTGGAGTGCAGTGGCGCCATCTTGGCTCACTGCAACCTCTGCCTTCTGGGTTCGAACAGTTCTCCTGCCTCAGCCTCCTGAGTAGCTGTGATTACAGGCACACACCACCACACCCAGCTAATTTTTGTATTTTTAGTAGAGATGGTGTTTCACCATGTTGATCAGGCTGGTCTCAAACTCTTGACCTCAAGTGATCCACCCACCTCAGCCTCCCAAAATGCTGGGATTACAGGCGTGAGCCACTGTGCCAGGCCCAGCCCTTGTTTTTTTAAAAAATATTTAAAGAATAAGATATTACTGATTTGGCTATAAGGAAAATTGGAATTAAAGAACAAATATATTTTAAATTGTAATCTATTTTGTATTGAACATTTGAATAGTATAACAAAATACTGAAAAAATGTTTGCATGGAAGTTCCTGTTTTCCGTCTTTAAATCATTCCATTTCTGCCATCATTAGGTTTTGTTCAGCAAAATACATCTTACAGGGAAAGTATTTTCTTTGCATTTTGGTGCTCTTTCTTAGTGGCAGCACAGCCAGGATACCTGGATTTGAATCCTAGCCCCACCATTTATGTGATTTTAGGCAAGTTACTTCATCTCTCCTTACTTCAATTTCTTCATATGCAAGGTAGATGATAATAACGATATAATACTTGGCTAGGCACGGTGGCTTACACCTGTAATCCCAGCACTTTAGGAGGCCAAGTCAGGAGGATCACTTGAGTCCAGGAGTTTGAGACTAGCCTGGGCAACATAGTAAGACCTTGTCTCTACAGAAAATGAAAACAAAATTAGTGGATGTGGTGGTGTACGCCTGTTATTCCAGCTACTCAGAAGGCTGAGGTGGGAGGATTGCTTAAGCCCAGGAGGTCAAGGCTGGAGTGACCCATGATCGCACCACTGTACTCCATCCTGGGCGACAGGGCAAGACTTTGCCTCAATAAATATTAGTAATAGTTACCTCTTTAGATTTTTTGAGGATTGAGGACTAAATATATAAACTTAGAGCAGTATCTATCACATGGTTAAGTGCAACTGTTACTGTTTCATTTTAGTCATTTTTAGAAGCACCTTTAATAGAAGTGTTACTTTTAAAACAATATGTTTTCAATTATGGAGTAAAACACTCCTTTCTGAATAAAAACTTTATAATAAAAAGTTAATTGTTGTGAACGTGATTAGATTACTTGTAGCACTATGTTCTTGTGAATAATGGTAGTAAGGCCTCAATAACTTGCCTGTTATATTTTTCTAATCATTCAGTCAACATGATTTTCAGATTTTATTTTTAAATTTTTTTTCATATTTTTTGTGACAGGGTCTCTCTCTGTCACCAAGGTTGGGGCACAGTGGCATGATCACAACTCACTGCAGCCTCAACCTCCCAGGCTCAAGCAATCCTACCTCTGCCTCTCAAGTAGCTGGAACTAAAGTTACACATCACTACACCCAGTTGATTTTTTATTTTTTGTAGAGATGAGATTTCCCCTATGTTACCCAGGCTGGAGTTGAACTCCCGAGTTCCCAAGCAGTCCTTCCACCTCGGCCTCCTAAAGTGCTGGGATTAAAGGCATGAGCCACCATACTTAGCCAAGATTTTATATTAAGGTTTTGGTGAGGTCTCATTTTAATTTTAGGTTTTCCATCTTGCTAGAAATATTTCATTGGAATCTTAGGAATATAAAAATAAATTTTTTGCCTAGTTGATTTGGGGACTCTTCATATGGCTTAGAAAATTAACCTTTTTCTATTAAGTTGGTGCAAAAATAATGGCATAAACCATTACTTATATGAATACAACCCTCAATTTTCATTTTCAGAGCAGGAGTAAGCTTTGCAATCAACCTGTTGCTTTCTCTTATCTATACACTTGCTAAATCTGAGACAGTAGTTGGAACAGAATCTGCTTTTCCCGTATTGGTTACAAGCAAGCACTTTCCCTGGGTGAGTGTAGCTGTAGGATAGCATAGAATTAAGACTACAGTTTCAGAGTCAGCCCAGCTTGAAATCTTGGCTCTATCATTTACTGGCTGTGTGATCTTGCACAAAATCCTTAACTTCTCTGTGCCTATTTCCTCAGCTAAAATGGGATAACATTGTTGTCTACCTCATAGAGTTGTTATGAAGATATTAAATAAATGCATTTTAACTTCACAGTGCTTGAAACAGCACTCAACAAATGTCAGCCATTATTACAGATCACTCCTGATACTGCTAATCGCTTTGCCTTAATTATAGAATAGCCTTTAGGAAAGGAATATTGTTCTCCCCACTTGTTCCCAGAGCTTTAGAAAAAAAAAAAGAAAGAAAAAGGAATATTGTTTGCAGAGATACTTCTTGTAAGAATGACAATATTTGTGTGCAGCTACAATCTGTAAAAAATTGCCAACATGAGTTTTCAGGACAGTGATTTATAACCTTTTTTTTTTTTTTTAACCACCCCAACACATTCCCATCAGCAACAATGGGTTCTTCCACAGTGGTTCCTAAAGAAGTGTGTGTGTACCAAGCAGGGCAGGGAATAAGGTTAGAGAAAACTGCTCAAGCCAAGTGCAGTGGCACACACCTGCAGTCTCAGCTGTTTGGGAGGCTGAGGCTGGAGGATTGCTTGAGGCCAGAAGTATGAGGCCATAGTGTGTGATGGTCATGCCTGTGAATAGCCTGAACTCCAGGCTGGGCAACACAGCGAGACTCCATCTTTAAAAAAAACAAAACCAAAACAAAAAAAAAAAACGGCCCAGATGAAAATCTTGCTGAAAAATTCTTAAAACTATTTTGGCACAGGTGAAATGTTCTATGCCGTTTGCATTTTATCCTAGCCTCTAAGGAGATGTCTGCCAACTATGTAAACTTACTGGGATTTAAATTCTATAGTAGTCATTCTTATATCTTCATTGCCATACTAACTCTAGCTCTGCTTTTTCCACTTTTACAGAAATTATACATTTTTAATATTACATATTTATAATAAAAGTTTATTGCATGCCTGTTACATATGGGGCTTCACCATAAAGACAAAGAATTTTAATAAAAATAAGTCTGCTTTCGTCAAAGACTGCAGGGTCTGTTAGGGAATATTAGCTTTACACAGAATTGTAAAGTGTTGACCTAAGAGAAGTAGAAGAGAGAAACCATGTTCTACTCCTACATTACACTGTATGTGACTACAAGACCCCTTTCTTGTGTGGATTATAAAAACTTGTTTCTATTGTATTTAACAACATGTGGTAAGTGGTATGTACGTGCCCTCTCTACAGGACAAGTGGGGTGGAGGTCTGCCCACTGACAAAAAGACCCTATTAAGGAAGGAAAAAAAAAAATTAAAAAAAAAAAAAAAAAAGGCCGGGCGTGGTGGTTCACGCCTGTAATCCAAGCACTTTGGAGGCCAAGGCAGGCAGATCACCTCAGGTCGGGAGTTCAAGACCAGCCTGACCAACATGGTGAAACCCCATCAAAAAAAAGAAATAACATAATTATTTCTTTATGTGTATAGATCTGTGTTGTATAATAGTATAGACACTAGTAACATGTAGCTATTTAAAATTTAATTAATTATGAAATTAAAAGTTCAATCCTATGATTATACTAGCTACATTTCAAGGGCTTAGTAATTACATAAGGATAGTGGCTTTCATATTGGATATTACAGAAGAGAACATTCCCTTCAGTGAAGAAAATCTGTTGGAAAGCACTATGTAGATGGTCCATTCTATTCTATCAGAATTTCAGAATCATGGACACCTCAGTGATGTATTAAAATCTGTCTTAAGTGACCTTCTACGTACCTTCAAAAGATTATCTCTTGAAATTAGAATATTGAACATAAGCCTTACTTTACTAATCACATCTTATCCTTAACAAAAGGAAAGAAGTTATGTTTTTA